ACTCCAAATATACCAAGCATGACGAAAGGAATCAATTCGAAAAATATCCAAGGTTTATTATATTCTACGTAAAATAATACTGAATGCTCATTTCCAAATGGATTTATGGAACGTAGTACAAAAGCAGCTATCAAAGCACAGAAGAACGATCGCCATAAAGTTTTTAATGGAAAATAATAGCTGACCTAAAACAAATACATAATTTGTACAGCTTTTCAAAACATAGATTACATATTTAGGATATTTTTTTTCAACATTTTTGAACTTTAAATTGATTAGAAATATAGACATTAAAAAATATTCTATATATTTTGCTAGAATATTCTTAGCTTTAACAAAATATTGCTCTTTGAAATATATTTAATCTCCAAATAATACCTCTTCTAAGCTAAATAAAACACCGCCAATCGGAGCTCCAAAAGCGACGGAAACTCCTGCCGCGGCCGCAGCAGATAAAATTTCTCTCTTTTTCGCTTCATTCCTACCATATTTTGGAAATAGATAAGAAAATATATTCCCTATACAACATGCAATGTGTACCATGGGACCTTCCTTTCCCAAACTTAAACCCGCTGATACGGAAAGAATCAGACCTACTGACTTAATAATCAGTGTCCATTTACCGAGATATCCACGGATAATAAAGCCACTCAAAATTGTTTTTATCTGAAAAAATATACATATATGAATAAAATGTAAAAAATATATTTATTGGATTTATATGCTTATCATATCATATTATCGAATCATACAATATATTTATAATATTTCTAAAAAAGAGCAAAACTTGATAAATTTACTTCAGGTATTCCAGAGCCACAAGCATACGGAGCAAACATTCGCACTAGAGATGCAGAAAGTGCTGCAAACAGAAGCGCCCATGCTGCATAAAATAAATATGATATTGTATAAGGCCCTGCTCCTTCTTTTGCCTGATATAATACTTCGGGCCACGTCAACCACTGCGAAAAAGATATTATATTATTAATTGTATTGAGAAAAAACATAGTCTTCGGAAGTATAATAAATTTGTGAGTCATAAAATTAAAGTCATATATTTACCTGTGTGCAGTTTCCACCATCAAACGTAGTCTCATTATAGCTCCAACAACATTGCTCTTTATTTAACCAGAAAGCTTGTGGACAGATACCGAATTTAAGATCTGTCATCCAGGAAGCGCCAATATCTATAACACCAGCCGCCACTCCCGTAAAAAGTCCGACTAGTAAAACGCATAGCCATCCCGACCATGCGTCATGAGCTCCTTTTATCAAACCCCAGATAGAATCGTGCTTCTTTTTCACGATATAACGATGCCGCATTCGATCTCGTGCGATATCCCGTTGCCAATCGATAGTATGAAAATCATCATACTGTCCAATACCAGGTATGTCATCAGAGTCAACTGAAACTAATAAATTTTAAAATTTCATAATAATAGTAAATTATTATGTAATGCTTTTGATACAATTTTTGAGAATTGCATTTTTAATCATTACTGTATATGTATAAAAAATTTAATAATCACATAGACAAAAGAATATTGTGTATATGTAAGACAGAAACTAGCAAATATTTTTCTTACAATTAGTAATAATAAATATAATAATCAGAACACTCTGTATCGTTTTCTTTTATAACAACTTTCAATTTATTTACAAAATTCGATATATATATTACGTATAATATATCGAAGATTTTAAAACAAAACGAAAAAAAAAAACACATTTTAGCACATTATTTCAATATTTATCTTTTTCAGTGTATATACTTAAACTTTAGTGTTTTAACTTATACTTATTTATACATGTATACACATTAATTATTGTTACAAGTATGACAAAGCAAATTTCACACATATGTAGGAATACATATAAATATTTACAACATACATATATTTTTTTATTTTTATTAATAAGTTGTAAAATAATCTATAAAAAATATCTTTAAAGTATTGAATAAGTTTTTGAAAATATTTCTATATAATTAATAATATATTTTTTATTTTAATTATACGTTATTAGAATTTAGAAAGCACACATAAACATATATTAGTAGTCTATTGAAGGGATTTAAAATCATAATAGATTTAAGCATTTAAGAATATAAAACTCCATTATTATTAGGTGTTGGAATTAATTCGTAGCGTTTTTTAATGAAAGAATGTTATTTATTTCACATGAGCATTAAAAAATACATTAATGAAAGTACTTCCCATCACTTGTAAAACGCTACGAATTACTAATAATAACAGTATAAATACTTTATTAGCTTGAAAAAAATTTTATTTGGATATATAGGTTTAAGATCGATATATTAATTTGTCTTTTAAAGTTATATCTATCTACAGTTTTGTCTTTCTTTAAATTAATTAAGTTGACATTAGACTGGCAATTATTTATGTTAACTTACACATTTTGTCACAAGTGCAAATAAATTTGGTGCAATTATTAAACCAGTATCACTCAGGATAAACTTCGAATCAGATGAGCAGACAAACAGATAAGTTGAACAGATGTTTCAAGAATTTTCTTCATATTTCAAGCTAGGATTCAAATTAGATACCAATAGATATGAGATTACTAAATTTCAAAGTTATACAAATGGATTTACGTTTAACTTAATAAAATTTCTTCTATATTTCTTTATAATGCTCACTAAAAATAAATAAAAGCTGTACGTAACATTATTTATGGAACCAGATAATACATGCATGAAATCAGGCGAAATAACTTAAATGACTTACGATGGGAAGATGCATCATCAATGCGGACGCAATCTGATAACACGTTATTATCCGAATGAGATGTGTGATGATTGATATCCAACATGTCGTCGTCACTACTTAGATTTGTTTCGCGTCTTATAGTTCCAGTTCGTAGTCGTACATCCTCTGTAATATCACCATACTTTATATTCTGAAAATATAAGATTTACATGCTTAATATTATCTACTTTTATAATTTAGCTATAGCTTAGAGATCAGTCATTTTAGTGCAAAATAAAGATACATTAAACCACATTTATATTAATAAAGATAAAATACATAATTTTCTAATTCCTGACAAATTTTAGTATATGCAAGTACACATACGAAATATTAATACACATAAGAAACATAAGAAACATAGTATATGAGACCATTAAGGAAATAAAGATTATACATTTTACAAAAATATATTAATCTAAGTGCAAAAATGTATAATACGTAAGGCAAGAAGATGCAGATTGAAACTAACAGCATACCTTTGCATCAACTGAATGATATGTTGTAACGGCATTTGCATTTGAATGAGGAATTGCCGAATTCAAAGATGCTGTACCTTTCAGTGGAAACCTCTCCATGGCATCATGATAATCTAATTTTACACAAGTAAAATATTACTTTGCCGTCTCAAAATGGAATGTAAAGATTCGTTATCAAGATTCTACATGACAGAGAGAAAGCGAAAGCCACAATGTCATATACAGTACTAAATATTCTATACAAGCACGTCATTAATATGTGGCTTAATCGGCTTTTCCATAATCCTCTTTAATCCTTCGAATGGATGCTATGTAATATAATTTGAATAATATATTCATGGTACAAAGAATTACAGATATTTTATTCATTATAGATTCTACCAGTGTGCCATACGCTGTGATAAATTTTGTATAGCTCATCAATTTGACGTAAGAGGAATAACGTTTTTTCTCAAATTATGTCAAATATTGTCTTTGTGATTTGCATCTTCTTGTTTAAAAAGAAAAGATTTGTTAAAAAAAACATCAATTACACCATGCCAAAATGATATTAGAAACTGAGAAATTCCTAGAAACAGCTTTCGAAATGAATATAAAAAAACGCATAAAACACAGTACCATGCACTTGGAACACCATATGATAACTTTTTCTCCCCTTATAAAGCGTGCACGTAACGAATTTTTTCTTGTGAATGAATCAAGTACGGAAAAATATGCTAACGACATTAGTCATATTCAAAACTGCGTATTTCGAGTTTACTTCGAAGCTTCTTCTTTACATGATGTTTCATTCCTCAGGAGAGATGAGGTTACCTCCCCAAATTACTTCATGCACATCGGAATGTTCGAGAACTTACCATTTTTAAGGAAAAACGTCCTCGTGTTTTATCTACAAACACCAATCATTATGCCATGTTTTAGATTAGATTGTATAAGATTAATTTGACAGTTCAATGACAATAAGAACTTCGTCGAATCAGTACTCCACTATCACGTAGACCTCCTTGCAGTTCTTGCAGAGCGGAATCAAAAGGTAACAAGGCAGAATAGAAAGCGAGCTCATTTCAGTTCTACAGTCGTTCACTAGGAGGCTAATAGCGAATTCAATTGGACAATAGCAGAGAGAAACTGGACAGTCTCGAGAAGGGCCATCCTGACATTTTACGTAGGATCGTCCGTACATTAGCGCCAATACATATATTTTCGATTTAGGAACTACATAATTACGTATTAATGATAAAATCACGGTATCGCAAATAAATGTGGAGCGAGTCCGTACTAAACTGTAGTGTTAAATTATATGCGTTAGATTGCTTTAAAAAGTATAATATTGTATAAATTATAATTATTTTATTATTTTATAAGATTAATTTTTCTTTCATACCATCTCTTCGATAGTCATCCTTTAGTCTAATTGCTTTTTTATTTTCAGAAAGAATATAATTTCCGTATTCAGAATGCGCTTTCAAAGATAAATATGTGCTAATATCGTAAAAGCGCATTACGAATACGTACAAGATTCTCTGTCTTCCTCGCGAAACGCACGATCTCAAATTCCGAAAAAGACTGAAATTTTTTGCGCGTAGCGTTTATATATCTTATCTGGAAAGCTAGCGCGAACCAATGAGCGCTCGCATCTAGCGCTTGCAGCGAAACCCGCGCTCATTGGTTGGCTTGAGAGTGGTGGGGTTCGAGGTTCCAAGGGTCCTATAAATACCGTGTAATCGGCGCTCTTGCGTTTTTGCGACTCGACCAGCGGATAGGCTTGCGTCCTGTAGTATAACGTTGAAATAGTTCGCACCTCTGGCTTCAAGTCATCATGGACCTTTCCTTGAGAAGTATCCTGATCTCCAGAAATATCCTAGTTCCTGTTTCCAGAGAATAATAAAACGACGGAAAACGGCTCGAAAGGATCGCGCGTTCGAATTACACTAACAAGGTAACATAAGTATTGTTAAATTATTGATATTTTCACGCGACGCAAGAAATGTTTAAGAACCATTCGCGGGATCGCTTTTAGTTTTTGAACAGTTTTGAAATGTCTTACGTATTAAATAAGATATTTAATGTTGTTAATATATGTATGCAATTATTAATACCATTGTTTTCACGAGCGTGAATTTTCTATAACATTTTAAATATCGTAATGTAGGACTAGCACACTGATTGTTCGGTTGAAAGTATTTTTCGCAATATATTCGTTCAGTCGAATCAAAAGTAGTACGCTTCGTTAATTTTGATGATGCATGAAGTTGACCGCGCGCGAAAAAACGACGCCGCTTCGCCATCTTAATGAGATCGCTACAGACACGGGATGGACAAGACGAGTGACAAGTGACAATCGCGTCTCGTCCGTCGATGTTGATCCATGTCCGCCGCGATTTCATTAAGATGGCGAAGTGGCGTCGTTTTTTGCGTGCGGTCAACTTTATGCTTCATCAAAGTTAACGCGGCATACTGCTTTTGATTCTACGGAACGAGTATTGCAAAAAATACTTTTGGCATGGCGTTTAATTGGTAAAAAACTTATATTATCATTGTACTTTCCTCACTTGCAATATTTAACTGACGCGAAACATTAATTTGGCGCTTATATATTACTAATAATTATTAAATCGTGTATTTCGATATTTATCCGACTGAAGGTGTATTGCGTGAATGATTGACAAAATAACTTATTACAAATGTCGTGAATATCTAGTTATAGCCAGTATATCTATAGTCGTAACTACGTTTACGATAGGTCTTTGTTTAATCTACAGGATAAATAAGGACACCTATTGTATAAGTCGCGGCCTAAATGCATGGTGTAAACATAGCCAATATGCCTATTCTATTACAATGTAATGCGCGTATACTATTTATGCTCGAAATGCGGAAAATGTATAAACGCGAAGTTAAGAGTGGAACGCGTAGCGTTCGCTCCGCGTCACTTTTGGCACGTGAAGTTGTTCGCGATCTGCGCAGGAAACGAAGCTTTTTCATTATCCTAACGCGTTCACATTTCATTTACAGGACGCGACAACTCAGGACAGATTGACTCCGCTCAGGATGAGGTAGCGTCGTTAGTCATTTAATAGGTAGGTAAAGTTTGCATTTATTTATTAACTTCTTTATTTTTTCACTGAAATATTGCATAATAGATTTCGATAATAATACGCTGATAATTCGATCGAACACGCATTTCGCAGTACTTGTTCGATTGGAAATTAAAACATTTAGCATCATCGCGGAGACGCGTTATCATTGTGTCACATAGTTTTTAGCGTGAAATTGATCGCGCAGAGAACGAGCCCTTTTATTTTTTTTACAATTAAATGCAATTCATTGCGTTCTCATTTTATTTATAAAATATCGCGGGTATCAAACGTGCCATAATTTCGTATACTCTGATTTTTCCACTATCGTAACATGTTAAATATGCGTTAAGTGTGATTAACACCGAGCCTGTTAAATAAAGTATGATAAAGTCGCGCGATTATACTTTTAGTTATTAATTGTAATCGCAATTAATTGTAATTAATAATTTATTAGTTTTTGCAAACAGATGTAACATGAAGAAATAGCAATTAAAGAACAAATGAAATTAAAACTGGGACGATGACGGCGTGAAAGATCGCGAAATGAGCATTTCATAATTAATTTTATTATTTACTATTGGAGTAATGAATTGGTGAAAGTAATTATTTATATGCGTACTACAGCATTTTAGATTTATGTAATATAATTCCGTATTGCATGTAATATACTATCTCAAATAAATAAAATATTTTATACTATATTTTAAGATTTTTTAAAATATAAGATTTATTTTTTAATTAAATTTTATATTAAAAAGATTGATTTCAAATCATAAATAAGATTACTTGTGTACGTAAACTTCAATAAAATTATTCTTCAACATATTTATTTTAGACATTTTCATTTGAATATATTTGTATGTGTTACAGATTATAATGTTGTACAGAGATAATACAATTCCATTATTGCGTATCGTATGAGTGCAACCTAATAAGGATCTGATAACTTGAGGAGGTAAAGAAAAAAATTTGAAAAGAGGAGGAAACAAAGGCATCAATTGCAGTGAAGCAACTTCGCGGTAAGCATTATAGTTTACTTACAATAAAATTAGCCTCCCCTTCCCGTTTATTCGGATTATTTTATTTTGATTTAAAAATAATAATTAGAGAAAACAATTATCTGAAACACTGAAAAAGTTAATTTTCATGAAGATATTTTTTGAACGGTAAGAACAACTATTTCAATAGATATTTAATTGAAAAGTGATTAAAGAATTTTGTGCGTGTAAAAAGTATTTCTTAAATCACACTTATTCACGAATTCAGCTCATTACATGATTTGACAATACAAATAAAAAGATACGCATTCCGAAAAATAAATAAATTCGGGAAAAGAGAAATGGTGATATAAAAATAAAAATAGGAGAAATATAAAAGAAAAATAAGGAACACATATTATCCTTGCCAATAATGTGTGCTTGTCATTATTCTTTCACATCAAAAAGAAGTATCCATTATGGATATACTAATCATCAACTTAAAAACTTTTTATATTCATCCTAAACTAGACATGCAATATGGAATATGAAAATAATAAATAGATTTTTCATTTAGATTATCAAATCAGATATATCCGATATAATGCCTATTCATTCAGGACAAATATAAACATTTTTTCACATTGCTGAATAAATTCAAATAAATATGTACAAAATATTTCTATTCGATATTGAAGGCTTAGCACATACTTAATGTATCTTTGAAAGGCTTCCCTTAATTTTCATTACAAACATTTCTTCTTTAATTTGCTCTTTTTGAAATATTCCCTTCATCGCAGCTCTCGCAATCTGTTTCATGCGATTTCAATGATTTTTTATAAATTATTTCATACTTTTAAAGTTTTTCATATTATAAATAAAAAAACAGTAATATAACAACAATAATATAACTTCACAGTTAACAATATAGGGTACAGCGGAGTAATTTGGACAAGTTAATGGAAATTTTGAAATTGTGTAAAAGATTGAAGTCGCAGAGTGTATTCAATCAAATACACAAAGTGTATTTATTATTGCACCAATAGTATATGATCTGTATATTTGCCTGAATATACCATGCAACTTCAATCTTTTTACAATTTTAAAATTTCTTATTCTATCCAAATTATCACGCTGTAAAGTAACTGTTACATATGTGTGTTACATCATAATTATAATAATAAGTATTGTAACATCGATGTTATTGTACTGTTAATTTATATATAATATTATGGCACGCGAGCAAATTAATTACTAATCATAAGTATAACTTTTTGACGCGTTACGGTAAAAAGAAGCAGGGAAATACATTGGAATAGATCATAAATTTTAAAACGAGCGTTCAAGTATTTTGAAAGGTCCTTTCTTAATTAAACCCTTCTAATTGTTAGTTACAACTTCATATATTCCTTTTTGAATTGTCCTTCTGTAATATTTTCATTGTCTCAGCTCTTTTAATTTCTTTTCTTTCCATAATCTTCTTTGACGTTTTGTATTTAATACTTCTGTTGCATATTTTTCATGGTACGCGCAAGGGACACTGCCTTTTTTCAGAATTTCATCCTGGGTTTAAATCGGAATTTAAATACAAACGGGATACAGCCCGATATGTGAGATCATTGGAATACGTGCTCAATTCTCGTTACGTTTACCGGTCGAGCTTGTCTCATACGACTAGCGTCTAACAAGCCGATAAGCCGAATTAACCACAATTAATGCACGAGGGATGTGGGCAATACCGCCCCAGAAAGTGGATTGCCTCACGTCGCGTCTATCAGCCAAGCGTTTGCGCACTTGTTGTGACACAGACTACTGTGGATCGCAAAGTATTGTGGTTATGAAGGCCTCGTCGACGTTAGACGCGCGTTAAACGTAACACGAGAAGCCAGCCGTTTTCGCAATGATCTCACTGTCGGTTCCGTGTCCACCGCGTGGGTCGTAGTAAATTACTTCTTCGCGCAATTCGCACTGTCTCTTGCATGTACCATGAAGAAGCTACAGCCGAGATAGAAAGTGATTTCCGGGACGTTAAAGAGGTTTTTTGAGAAAAGAAATCAAGATACGCGGAACGAGAAACGTACTACATTAACGAAATTAGAGAGGAAAGTTGCAATAGAGAAATCAAAGCACATTATTGACGATTTGTAGAATAGGGGGAAAAATGACATGGGAGCAAATATTTAATACTAATGAACAAACATTTGTAACATTTTCGAAGAACTCTTCTTAATTTCTCCTTTGGACGTTATGTTTACAGTTTCCCTCCTTTAGCATTTCCTTCGTTTCAATTATTTTAATTTGTTTCTTTTCAATAATTCTCTATAAATTTTCACTAATCATTTAATTTTTCTGTTGCAGCTTCTTTTCGGTTCGTGCAAGGGGCATTGCGTTTTTTCGGGTATTCTTTTCGGTTTTAAATCGAAATTTGCTTACATACGAGATACGGTCCGATATGTGAGATCGTTGCAATACGTGCTCAATTCTCGTCACGTTTACCGGTCCGTCGAGCT